AAATATTAGAATAAAATTAAGCATTTAAGTACTGATATTAAAATACTGTTGTTAGTATTTGATATTATTTGATATTATACTTTTTATTTCAAATATTCTGTGAAGTATTTTAAATACAATATTTTGGTTTCGATTTTTGAATAAAAAGTATCGAAATTGTATAAAACTTCAATAGTATTAAATATTATTGATTCAACCAATTTTTTCTTTATCTCAATAAATTTAATATTGTTGAAAACATTACACTCGAATGAAAATAAGTTTAAAGGTGTAAATAACTCTATACTAGTATACTGTCATATTAAAATATTAATTATCATAACCATGCTACATTAATATAGGAAGTTCCATAATAGAAAACAATTGTAGACCAGTAACAATTTTCAATTTGGAATGTTTTATTGTAGGAATGATTAAGATATAGATTTGGATAAAATACTTTATGAAAATAATATTCGGAATACTTCACAAAAAGTATTTCAAGTATTCTTCCAATTCTTTTTTTTAGTCACAAAAATATTTTTTCTTCTCAATTCAGTGTTTATAAGTGAACATCATAATAACGTGGAGAAGGAGGTTAGTTAATTTATCCAACCAATCCCCTGGCTGCACTGCTTAAATTAATATAAAAATTAAAATATTAATGAATAAAAAATTAATTAAATCTTATCGTCTCGCTATCTCGTTGCCACAAAATTGGAAAATATTAAATAACTTACTGTCCAAATGAAAACAGTAGAAAACAAAATAATGTATTATTACAAAATATTTGTTTATAAATATATATATACAAGTACAAAATCAATTTCTATGACGGAAAAGAAATGAAATTATTTTTTCAATGTGTTTGGACGTTAAGAAATTATTCTGAATACTGTATTCAGAATACTTAAAAAAAAGTATTTGGAATACTACCCAAGTATATGTTCAGATAGATAAATGTATTGATTATATAATGACACTTATGTGTTTAAATTTAATATTTTTTCGAAATTTTTTACCTACTTAAANTTTAATGATAATTAACGTTATTATTTAGTAATAATAAATATATTATTTAAATAGATAAAAGTAGAATTTAATTTGCACGACAGTGTATAGGTAATGAGTATGTTAATATCACATAAAGTCTTACCACAAATGCACCTAGAAAAAAAATATATAATTTTTAAATAATAACCACGCTTGCACTGCATRATGTAAATATCCTAGCTGATCATATAAGTTGCCGAACATAATATTTTACCCGGCACACACAGTTCGTCGACGGCGTCTACAGCTGATGATGTTATACTGCTGTAGGAGACGATATTGTAATAAAAATAATATGAAAGTAAAATTGGAACGGCCACTGGTCTGGTGAGATAATAATAATCAATATTTTAATCCAAACATAACAGCAACCGGAAACGCATTTACGTTACCCATCCATCCGCTGCAACACCTATACCTACCTAGTGAGTATATCTACGTATTTGGGCACGCAACGGCGGCACATCACCAACTGGTTACGGTTAACTCGATCCCACCAAGCGGGCGATCGGAACTAACACATTTCCGTCAAGTTCGTACGTATATAACCGTTATCGGCGATCGTCAAACGTATCAGTCGTGTTCGATCGAGCTTCACATTACACACAGGAGACTTAGAAATAATCAAAAATGGCATACAAGGTAAGTTGCAAACAAAAATACACTGGTACACCTTATTTTAACTTTGATGTTCAAATATATTTATGTATTTCTCTCCACACAACAGATGTTCTCCACCGGTCTAGTGYTAGCATTCGCTGGTATGTGTTTGTGTCAACAACAACAAACTTCCAACTCACCATCTCAATATCAGTCTGCCGCAGCGTCTCAAACGTCGTTCCAGACCGGCTCGGCCGCCCAACAGCCACAAACCAAACTGGAAGACATCGAACGTGACACGCTGGCAGCTGCTTTTGGACAGAAAACTCAACAGCCGTCCAACAAACCATCGTCAGTCCCTCAACAGCAACAACAACAACAACTACCGCAGTCTTACCAAACAGTGCCGCAACAACAATACTACGTGCAGCCTTATCAGGGACTACAACAACAGTTCTTCGTGCAACCGTACCAAACTCAACAACAGTACTTGGCCCAACCTTACCAGATGGCTTTCGACTACAACGGGGTACAATACTCCATCGTCAGCCCCAACTCTTTCCCTAGTAACCAGTTTTACCAACAATACTACGTACCAGCTGCCCAACCGTCGGCTGTTCCTCAATACGTGACCAAACAATCTTCCCCGGCGTCCGCTCCTGCACAAGCTCAACAGGAATACAAACAACAACAATTTTCCGCCCCCGCACAATCTCAACAAGTATACAAACCACAACAATTCGACACTCCCACTCAAGTTCAACAAGAATACAAACAACAATTCGCCGCTTCTACTCAAGCCCCTGCACAAGAGTACAAGCAACAACARTTCAACACCTTAGCTCAAGCTCAACAAGAATACAAACAACAACAACAACAATACGTAGTGCCGTCTCCTGCATACCAATACGTCCAACAATCAGCCGTTCCTACCTCCAACGGTCCCGCTGATTACTCGTACGTTACTCGTCACCCGGCTATCACCACCGCCCAGTTCAAAGCCCCGACAGCTACCGCCGCCGTCCAACCCCAATTCCAGTACAACACATTACAGCAACAGTACCAACCACAACAACCCCAATATTACTACACAGTGGCCGCCACCGAACAGCCACGCGTCCAACAGTCAGCCAAGAGCCAATTTTCGTCTGGAGTGAAATCCACTACGCCCACRCCATTGGTAAAGGAGTTCGCATACAAGTTTGAATCCTCACCACCACAACAACAACAACAACAACAACCCGGCGCGGCTTACAGTACAATCAGATACTCCGCTTAGACGTCTCAAGTGCATCTCCAATGGGGGGCCGTGKCAGGTGCATCGTTATAATATTATTGTGCATAGTACCATCGATTGTATATAACGCACACTACGCGTAATTAATTGTACAATTATTTGATATCACTATTACTATTATTATTATTATTATTATTATTATTGTTATTACAGTCGTTAAGTATTACTAGTGCGTTGCAGCACAGCTGATATTATAGGATATTTATTTCTTAGGAGACTTCCACACACTTCAGCATGCCGATACTAACTTAATGCTGCAGTATGTAGTGACGCATATATGTCCCAAAAAATTTAAAAATTTAATTATTTGTATTATTGCTATCATTATGTTGGTTAAAAATAAATGTGAAAACACTTTTAATTTTTAGACCATTAAAAATACTTGTTTTTAATAAACCATCATGTCCAATCCACATAATGATTCTAGAAAGCGTTTAATCACATCAGATAGTTCGCAGCAACTCGTATACTATAAATCGTTCATGTATGACATGTTCGARGTAAAATCGCATTATAAATATTTTATTCAGCCAACAATTTAAAAACGTGGCTTGTATATAATATAATAATTATAATTACAAAAAAAAAATACAATGAGTTACCTATTGATACTAAACATATAGAAAAATATTTAACAATAAATAACAGTATATATATATATGCTATTTAGCAATACTTGCAGAGTGGTAATATAGCA